TTTATATTCAATAATTGATTCTTAAATTAATAACATATTTTGAGGTAGAAGTTTATTATTTGCAAAATTATCTAAATAAAATATATTTACTAGTTCACTCTCATAAGTTGAAATTAATAGATAATTTCCATTTTGTTGTACCTATATAAAAATAAAATAAAAAATCTAAAAGTAAAAAAAAATCTAAAAGTATCACTTTTACTTTTTAAAAAATATTTTTTTACTAAATTAACCAAATACTTAATATGAAAAAGAAAAGATTAAGTATATACAAATATAAATTAAATATAATTTATTACCTTTTTAAAAAACATTAGATCAGGTTTTTCTACTAAATTAACCAAATGCTTACACAAAAAGAAATGGCTTTAAATATATGTAGGACATGTATATATCCATTTAACTGAATTAGTAAAATACTTATTATCTTTTGTTTGAGTTATTTTTTTCTTATGTTGTTTCTATTCTTTTTTAAACTCTTTATACTATAGTATTAAGTAACAATTCTGCTCAAGTAATTGAATTCGATATAAATAGTGATTTATAACTTTTTCATAAGAATATAATATAAATGATCAACTCGTGGTTTATTAAACTTGTATAAATAATCAGCTTAATTTGCTGCTAATGAGACTCAACTGCCATTGTAGTTTTAATATGATTAATACTTTTATTAGCTGCTCTTGCCCATAAATTCTACTTATTTTTAGAATACTACTCTTTCCATAGATATACCTATATTTGAAACAAGTTATTATTTTTGCAGAATTGTATCATTTCACTAACACATTCTTTTCAGATTTCAGTTGAATTTGTAGTAAAAGTGCTATCTAATTTTGGCAATAATATATAATGAGTTGAATACATTACTACAAGTTCTATTACAGTGTCTTGTAATATTAAAGGACAAAATATTGTTGAATTTGAATCATTTGTAACTTCCCAATTTGGATCTATTATAGAACAAGCTTCATTTGCACTTTTTGGTTTATAAGTATAGTAGGTATTAGTTTTATTATTTGTTAAATATTTTTCAATTACTCATCGTATATGCCAGATACATAATTGCAATTGAGCTTCAGGCTATACTACCTGTGCTGTATTAATTTCTGAAAAGTCTTTATCTAAAAGAATAAAAGAAAGTTTTTTAAATTGTGTTCTCTTAAAGCTTGTATCTATTGAAAAAGAATTTTAGTCATATTTCAATTTTTTTTAGCTAAAATTAATAAATAACTAAGTAGAAATTCAGTACTATCAATTATACCTATAATAGTATATAGTTCACATTCTAAATTGTTTGTACTATATGTTATATCTATCGTAATTGCATCAAATTTATTATAAAGTAAATGATTAAATAACAAAGTTAAAAATCCAAAAACAGGTGTTGAATATGAAGATAATTCTTCTGATAGTGATGATGAAAGACAACAAAATTTTGAAACAGATTTGGATTATTTACATGAGATATTAGATAAGATATTTATTTATTTGTATTTAAAATTAATTCTAATATATAGTAATTATATAATTGATTAATTCTAAATATATATAGACTAAAAAGCTTTTAGAAGAATTACACAACAAACCAAAAAGATATTTATGATTAAAAAATATTCGTTCAAATTTTAATTCATTAGAAAAAATGAATAATGATATTATAGCATTAAATAATCATAGAACAATGCCAAAAACATGGAAGGATTTTAATAAAAACACAATATACTGAGAATAGTTTATAAAAATATTTACAGTTATATGTTTAAAATATGAATCATTATTTATTATTATATATTTTTAATTTATCATTATTATATTTCTAATTATAAAAATAACTACTTATATAAATTCTAGAATTATATAGAATTTGAATAATAAAAAAATTAATTGAAATTTGTTTAGTGGTTGTTAAGAAACCTTTACTCAAAGTTAGAAAAAATTCTTTCTGCTCATAAATAAACAAGTTATTTTTAATTGTTTTAAAAACTTTGAGTAAAGGTTTCTTGACAATCACCTAACCAATTTCGATGAATTTTTTTGTTTAAATTCTATATAATTGTAGAAATTGAATAAAAAAAATTCATCAAAATTTGTTTAGTAGTTGTTAAGAAACCTTCATTCAAAGTTTTTAAAAAATTAAAAATAACTTGTTTGTTTATAAGCAAGAAGAATTTTCTCTTTGAATGAAGGTTTCTCAACAATCACTGAACAAATTTCAATGAATTTTTTTTATTCGAATTCTACAATTATGTAGAATTTGAATAAAAAAATTTATTGATATTGGTTAAGTAGTTGTTTTTAAAAAAATTAAAATAACTTATTTATATAGTAAATTTTCTCTAACGTTGAATGAAGGTTTCTCAATAACCACTGAATAAATTTTGATGAATTTTTTTTATTCAAATTCTACAATTATGTAGAATTCAAATAAAAAAAGGTCATCAAAAATTATTTAGGTGGTTGTTGAGAAACCTTCGCTTAAAATTTTTTAAAAAATTAAAAATAATATTAAATTGGTCAGTTACCGGTATCTAAACTACAAATCGTATACATCCGAAATTGTGTGTCACCCGGCAGATCTATCCGGCTACCATTTTTTCCGGGTGATGCTAGGGTTGTTGATTCGCGTTACCTTG